ATGGACATGGTTAAATTTTTTTTGTGGCTTTTGCTAGTTTTTTGGTGCGATTATTTATGTTTATTTTAATTTTCAATATCGATGTTTCTATTAATTTGGTGAGACGGTACGCTCCGCCCACTCTCTTCCACGTCGCGTGGGAGGCACTCTCCTTCTCGTGTGATCAACTTAAATTCCATCTCAATATCAAACGTAGAACATTAATTTTTGCGTTCTCGAGACATGACGAGAATTATGTTGAACCACAGTGAATCATGCTCACGGATTTAGTGGAATGAGCACCTCCGAATAAGTTCGATGATCTGATCACGCGGGTCGGTCGAAATTATTCTATATCCATACGTACCCCGCTCGATCATCCCCAATTGCAGTTTCCGCCGGACAAATTCGCGCACAGCACCAACATAATCCCGACACATCGCATCTGTTTTCCGACAACGGATTAATCGTTTACGTTTCGAAATCGCCAAGATGGGTCCTTCCGATGTCGAAACATATCGAAATTAAATATCCGATAGAGAGAAATCGGGCCTTACCAACAAGTTTTAATGCGATCCTTCGATCGCTTTCTAATCTCGTGGAAAACCAATTGGGGCATCGGTCAAACGGGGGGGGCGCGTGAAAGTCAATGGTCCTCATCGCGTGCGATCCGTCCCCAATTCGATCATTTGCGGAGGGTCCGAATCGTAAATTAACCAAACGGATTTGACGGGTCGCGGGACCCCGACCCGTCTTGTCCTCGACTTCAAAAAAAAAATTTCGCCGACCCGTGTCCTGAGTCGCGGTCAAATCATGTGCTTCCACTCCCTCTCCGTTTTGCACGCAAAGTCCTTACCTAAAATTTCCCCATCACATAAATGCCCGTGTCGGGTCGACATATGGTTACCGACCCGGTCGCCGGTGGTTCCGCGGCCTATTGTACGGATGATAATTCCGATCACGAATTTTTTTTCAAGTCTCGCCGATCGAACCCCGGAATCTTTCCGCGTTGAAATTCCAATGCGGCCCTCCCGGTCAGTTCTCGCCGGAAGTCGCGCGGCACGACTGCCCAGTCATCGCTGATCATATCGGCAGGGAGGAAATTTGACCGGAAGGACTATATTATTGGAATTTCGCGAAAAAAGACGTGACTCGATTGAATTGGGTATCCGTACAATAAGTTCGGAACTGACCGGACAGCTCCCCGTTAATTGGACCTCGTCCGTATCTACACAGCGGTCGGTCGGCTCGACAATCGGTTAAAACCAACGTACAAAACTTACTCGAGAAGGACGACCGCATGGACACTTTTCTCGATGCATCCTTGTCGGCAATCCAAACGTTAGGAGCCAGAGCCCATTTTGGGTTAGAATATGCCATGGACCGAATTTATTTTATTATTGGGATTTCATCTTAAATTAATAATAAATCCCCACTTTATTAAATTAATTTTTTTTTTTGGGGTTGTCTGCAGGTGCAAGGACTAACTCTCGTTCTCGTGTCAATTAATTTTTTTTTTTATAAAAAAAAAATTAAGATAATTTATTGTCTGGTTTTGGAGGCATCCCGCGAAGGATGGAAAGTTCTTCCGTCTCGTTTACCAAAAAGAAAGCAAGAAATCTCTTGGGATCATCATCATTCGCGTCCAACGTATTGACGGCGAATCTCGTGGCATCAATTGATTTATTCATTCGGACACAACGAGACTATCCATTTCTTTCCCTTTTTTTTTTTGCTAAATATAATTTGGATGATCGATTTATAGTATCGCGAAAATTAGGTGGTCTCGGGACCGGGTAAGGGGACCGTGCGTGAGGATTGATAATGGAATGTGCTCGGGATAGATGTCTATTGGATAGGCTGTTTGGAGATCGCTTCGCCAGGGGCACGAACACATAAGAGTATATCTCGAGATGGTAATTATCTCGGATATGGCGATGATCTTTGCATTGGAAATTCTACATGTGGTAAGTTGGGCTTGTTGGGCACTCACGAGCTCCCAATTTTTGCATTGATCGGAGATTATTTAGCCAATTCCCATTCTTTTCTTGATTTATGAATTTCGAAAGCAAATTTAAGAACTTTGAACCTTGAATTTCAATGTTTAAAAAAAGAAGAAGAAAAATCAAGTCCTTATTCTATATAATTCATTCATTTGACAATTATATAATTCATTCATTTGACAAGAAATAGCTATAATTGGGTACGGATGAAAATGTAAGTATTGCTATCCTACGATAATCAATGAAAAGAATTCATTTGTTAGATACCCAACAAACCGTAAAATCACACGACCATTCCTTAATTCGTAAAGATCATAACGGACGCGGGGGGGGGAGACTTACATAATAGAAAATCCATCCCCTCAATTTCATAGATATTATTACTAACAACATCAGACGGAGGCACGCAAGAACCGACTATCTTCCAAGTTATTCTCGGGCCCGCTCTCCGGACCGGTAACATCCTACACAACTTCCCACACACGAATTAAAGCACCCAGCCAACGCGTCCTCAAGTCTCGATCGAGTCACGCCGATGCGATGCGCTGGAGACGTTCAGCGCAATACGATAGAGCCTCGGCTCAGCATATTTCCTTTTCCAGGAGCGACCAAATATTTGGAAAGAAAAAAAAAACGCTAATATCAACTCCCCAAGAAAATTGGAAAAAATATAAAAAATATAAAAAAAAAAAAAGCATCATCAATAGAGTTTCGAAATCGCAAGAAGAATCCAATCGACAACGAGAAGCAAGGGAAGGGGCGGGGGGGGGGGGTTTGGTCTTTTCCGTCGGACAGCCCGCCATGAGCACCGAAGGCCGGGGGGGCGTTTTGGTCTTTTCCGTCGGACAGTTCGCCATGAACACCGAAGCCGCCGTACCGAAAGCAACTACCGCGAAAAACGAAGGAAAGGAAAGCAAAGGGCAAAAAAAAACCAACGCCGCGGGCCCCACCCCTCACCCTTATCTTCGCCCCGGTGGGCCCCCCACCCTACCCCCTCCCCCCCTCCCTTTCAGGACCACCCCTGCATTGATTTTAAGCCGGCGGCTGTCAGGGAAAGTCAAAATCACTATTTTTATTTCCCATAAAAAAAAAAAAATATATATATATATATATATATATATATACACAAATAAATAAAGTAAAAATAAATGTAACAACAAAAACCAATCCCCGCCGGGGCGGTCCCCCAATCCAGATGTACGGCCCCCCGGCGGGGTCCCCGCCCTGCGACCGCCACGTGTCGGTCCGATCGCCGCCCCGTGAGTGGCGGAGTCCCGCTTCTTCCATTGGTCCTCTCAATTATTGCCCTGCACCCCCTCCACCCCCCAAAAAAAAAAATAAAAAAAAATAAAAAAAAAATATATATATATATAATATAAAGAAATTTTCCCGAACGAAATTCCGAAACGGATTAAAGCTCCACGCGTGCGGGTTGATTATTAAGCGACCTGCCAAACGATGTTTCACCATGCTCGAGATAGCTTCATCTCACCTTCATCTCGCCATGCCGTCCGATCCTCGCGGCGAACTTAATTTGAGGACATGGTTTTTTTTATTCTGCGCCCCCGAGGAACCGACCCGATCGGGGGGCTGATTCCCCATCTTTCGAAATTTGAAACGGGACGGCGCCTAATCTGCCCCTCTTTTCGCGACGACGTATGACCGATGCAGTGGGACAGCGACTAACTCCTTCGACTTGCGAAAGATGCTTTTGGAAAAAAAAAAAAAAAGAAGGGGGGGTCGTGGAATCTCCTAATTACGTTGGCTTATCTCCTAGATATTTCCGTCCCCCCCCCCCCCCCCCTTTTCGTGCTATTGGGCGGTCGACCGAGATTGCTGGAAGCGTGCACGCTTCGACATCGATAAGAACCCGTAAGGGATCGGATTGCTGGGTCGGCTGACTGCACCTCGCTCATTACTATTCCGGTGCTCGAATAGTCATACGTGTTAGCAAAGATTAAAAGCGAATTTGTCGGGATTACCAAAAATCCAAAGTTCCGTCGCCCCCACCATCATCTATCGTCTCGCTCCCGTCTTATTGTGTGGACCACCGAAAAAAGGTAAGCGAAATCTCTAGCCGCGATAGGAAGTTTTAATCCGATAAATAGGTCGAAAATCTGATTTTTGTCATGCAATTTAACCTCAGCATTTGTCTTTATTTTTGTTTTTGTTTTTGTTTTTCTTTTTTGGGGGGGCCGGCGTATGAAATTAGTCAGGTGACGTGGAAGACACGCTCCAAGGTTGGAGGGGCTGTTCCCTAACCATACGTAGAAAAGTGTTCCTCATACGACGACGTATTCTTCTCCTCCTCCTCATCCAATAAAAGATTAATTAATTCAATAATTAATTAATTTAAAAAGAAAAGAACAACTTTACACATGCATGATGCCACCCACAACTTTTTGCTAGTGTGCCGTGAAAAGGGCGAAAGAGCGGCACGTGTGTCGGGTCATATGCGGTACGGTTTGGGGTTTGATCAAGCAATCTTAACACCAAAATAAAATAAAAAATAGATAAAGTTATATCTTAAGATAATTTTTTTTAGAAAAATTGGATTGTCTAGGAGGCGAGTACCTTGTATTTAAGAGAAAGAATGCTTACGTTTTAACCATGCGTCAATTGCTTTAATTACCTTAATTACCGATAAACAAAACAAAAACAAAAACAAAAACGAGGACTCCTCGTATGCCACGCGGAGGGACGCTCCGGGTTGACCTTGACCCGCGCCATATAATATAACAGACGCGCACCGCATACGCTGACGTCACTAACAGCAACGACAACGATGATAATTGCGTATATAATAATACTCATCGATAAAATAATACTCGCTAATCAACACCAACAAAAAGGCAAAAAAAAGGAAAAGGAAAAATAAAAAAGGGAAAAAAAAAATTAGATATTTCCTCATTGGCCGGTCGGAGCTGTTTCCCGACCACCCGGTCGCCTGAAAACCGCCATCCAAAACCGCCCTTCTCTCTCTCTCTCTAACAGCTACTCTTATTCGCTTCGTTTATAGTAAGTCCCATCTCCATCTCTCTCCTTCTCTCTCTCTCTCTCTCTCTTTCTGCGAGCGAGAATTCCTTCTCTCTTCCATAGCCGAACGAAGTATGAACGCGAGGTAACCGTCGTCATCAACAACCATCACCCCCGCATGGCCTTCCACAACCACCTCTCCCACCAGGACCTCTCCTCCCTCCACCACTTCTCCTCCGACCAGCCGCCGCCGCAGCCGCAGCAGCAGCAGCAGCACCTGCCGGACTCGTCCGCCGCCGCCTCCTCCGTCCACCACCAGCTCCACGCCGCCGCCCCCAGCTGGCTCAACACCGCCCTCCTCCGCTCCGACGCCGCGGCCGCGGCCGCGGCTGCGGCGGCGGCGGCGGCGGGGGGAGGCGGCAGCAGCTTCCTCAACCTCCACACCTCCTCCGACTCCGCCGCGTCGCCGCAGGCGCCGTCCACGTCCTCGGCCTCCGCGGCGGCGGCGGGGCACCACCAGTGGCTGTCGCGGCAGCACTCGTCGCTCCTGCAGCGGAACCACAGCGAGGTCATCGACGCGGACTCGATCATCGACTCGGCGGATTTGAAGGAGAGCGTGAGCAAGGGGGGCGGCGGTGACGGCGGGGGCGGCGCTGGGGCGGAGAGCAATTGGGAGTACGCGAAGTACAAGGCGGAGATATTGTCGCACCCGTTGTACGAGCAGCTGCTGTCCGCTCACGTGGCTTGCCTGAGGATTGCCACGCCGGTCGACCAGTTGCCGAGGATCGACGCTCAGCTGGCTCAGTCGCAGCATGTGGTGGCTAAGTACTCGGCGATGAGTCAAGGATTGGTTGGGGATGATAAAGAGCTTGATCAGTTCATGGTATATTCACCTCTCTCTCTCTCTCTCTCTCTATGCGTGTTCCTGTACGGCTCGTTCCATGTGTCCGATCGTGTTTGCTGGATTTTGGTTGAAGTCAATGGTGTTTGTTGTCATCGCCGTCAAGGTTTGCAGTGATACTGGGAATTGCGAAGTGAAATTGCGGTATGATTCGTATGCTCTGCATTTTTCGTGTTTTGATTCGATTTTGCTACCATATACATGAATCGAGATGAAAGAGAGTCGAGAAATACTTCTGCTTACAGAGGAGTGCGAAATTTAATCTACTCTCGAGCATGCGACAAATGTTCGAAGGTTACTTGTTGAGCGGGGTTGACTTTCTGATATGAAATGTTCCTGGCTTGATCTTCGAGAATTGGGACCTGGAATAGCCCCGAGATTACTATGGGAACGCGAAGAACACGGGCTTTTGATTCTGAGTTTTATCCAGCAGATTTTCATTGTGGTTTGCTGTTTCCAATGGATTTTCTTTATTGGGGACAACAAGAAAGACGGCGTCTTTGCACATAAATTCAGCCAATCCAAATCTGGCAGTGATTCTGCGGTTATTGCAAGAAGCTAGTTGGAAGAATGAGATTTACACTTAAATGCTTGACTTTACTAGCACAGTACTATGTAAATTGCCATTTTCTTTTTGTTCAGAAACTTTGACATGGCTGCTGCCGCTTCGTTTCCTGACCTGGTGTAGAGAGCCTCTAAATCTCAAGTGTTCGTCGGAATGGAAATTAGTATAGCCCATATGAAGCAGAGGCTCAATGAGAACTTTTAATAATCTAACAAGAAGATTAATGGTTAAGCAAAGTTCAGTGGAAAATGGAAATTGCTCTTTGTTCGGTTTTCTTCGTCTTCTTTTGCTTTCGGTGGATTATTGAATTCGAATTTAGGTCAGCATGCGTATGAAGGGTTTCATGTCTTGTTCTCCTCTTAGTAGGAATACTTTTCTAAAACTGGAGAGATGCAGACGCACAAGGAAGTGCATCCAAGCACAGAGATATCATTATAATATTAAAATAAATACCGGAAGAAATTGAGATGAGTTTGAGTGCAAACAAAATGACTTTAGCACTACGAATTGTTGAGGCTTCTTTCTTATGTCTACAGCTCGTTAAGAGTACTGGTCTTGATTCTTCTTAATTTCTCGGATGGTTTCCAAGGCAAAGACAGCTGAGGAAGAACTGCTCAAACTTTTAACCATTATACCATGTAACTGTTTTAACCTGTCCAGGTTTCATTTAGAAAATTTCTATCTGCATGCTTAGTACTCTGTGTATTTTCTGAGTTCTCATTTCCATCCGCTTCCATGATTAGTTACTAATGTGCCTATTTAGTCAATTTCTCTGCTTGAGCCGTAGAAAGGGATTTTCTCTAGTCTTCTTTTCTCTTTGGAGTTGAAGTCAACCTAGTTTCAGATTATTAGAGGCTAATCTTCTTATCTATGTTACCTTCGCTTCTCATATCTTTAAATTGTTATTGTAATTGCTTGCCAAATTTGTTGGTTATTGGGATGGTTTTGTTATCGGAAAGATGCAACAGTGGTGGTTGTAGCGGCTGCTGGTTCATGTTTTGTTCTCACGTCGAAGCATTAAACTGCTTTTACTGCTCGATTTACTTGTATTGCTGGGGATACGATCTCAGGAAGTGTCCGGAAGGTTCTGGTTTGTTAAGTAGTAGAACCAAAGCAAGAATTGATGAAGCATACTTTACTGGATAGCATCTTCATCTTGACCTTCAACGGTGGGAAGTTTGTAGAGTTGTTGGTTGCCAAATTGAATGGAATTTCCACATATTACTAACGGATTTTGCCTTAGGCCGGGGTTATTCTAAGGCGTTGAAAAACAAAATATCTTGAAGTTAATCAAGTGAAGTTGAAAGATGACTTCTCAACTTCCCCAATGCTACTTAAATTGAAATCACCTTTTTCTACATGATTATATGCTTTACTTTCATGTGGTTATGTTTTCCCTCTTTCAGGAGTTTTTGCTTTGATTCATACATGTGCCGTACTTTTAAGTGGAAAATGTTTAGTGGCATCCATGCATCATAAGTTGCCTTCTAAGTGACACATGATGGAGAAAACACATGCTGGTTGTCTGAGATCTTTACTGCTGCTTGCGATGATTGTCAAATATTAGATTTGGAAATTGGCCAGATAAAATGCTTCAATATTCAGCAGGCCACGTTTTCATTTTTCCTTGCTTGATGTGGCAGACACATTATGTCCTCTTGCTTTGCTCTTTCAAAGAACAACTGCAGCAACATGTCCGTGTCCATGCCATGGAAGCTGTAATGGCGTGCTGGGAAATTGAGCAATCCCTGCAAAGTTTGACAGGTGATGTTTCTGATTCCTTTTTAATCTCGCTTGAGCTACATTTTGCATCTGGTACGTAAAGTTCTCACTGGATTGTCAAATTGCAACCTTCCCTAGCACTGTTTGTTTTCCCTTTCCTTGCTAACCAAGAAACCTCTAATAATAACTTGTTATAAATAGATACTTTGGTAGCAATCATCGTAACGGGTCAGAGATTTTGCAGTTTTCTCGTGGGAGAGAACGCTGAGCATAAGTTAAGCCCTGAATCCATATTTTGGATGTTCGGTGAAAATTATTAATAAAATGGAGAATCAAATGGACTATATTTTTTGTGGTGCATGTAAGTAACCCAAGATGGCTGATACACCCTGCTTGCTCATATCTTGAAGCCACTAAATGTACACACTGCATGATACCTGCATGTTCTTACCTCCATTATGAAACTTAACATTTACTCAACACTTTATCTTCTTGTACTGCATGAGCAGGTGTTTCTCCTGGTGAAGGTACTGGGGCAACAATGTCAGATGACGAAGATGATCAAGTGGATAGTGATGCCAACTTGTTTGATGGAAGTCTAGATGGTACAGATACTTTGGGATTTGGTCCTCTCATCCCAACTGAGACTGAGAGATCATTAATGGAGCGTGTGAGGCAAGAGTTGAAGCATGAATTGAAACAGGTAAGAAAGTGATTTTAGCACCTTTGAAAGGCGTTCCTATATTTTGGTGTTGACCAACTGCTATCTTTTCATGTAGGGGTATAAGGAAAAGATAATTGATATACGAGAAGAGATTCTTCGTAAGCGAAGAGCAGGAAAACTTCCCGGTGACACCACATCTGTATTGAAATCATGGTGGCAATCGCACTCCAAGTGGCCATATCCAACGGTAAGTTTTGGCTTTCTAGATTTTCCAAGTGATAAGATGATACTTCAACGCGTCCGATGACTTTATAATCACTATCTTCCTCTGTTATGATCTCTTAGGAGGAGGACAAGGCAAGGTTGGTGCAGGAAACTGGCTTGCAATTAAAGCAGATAAACAACTGGTTTATCAACCAGAGGAAGAGGAACTGGCACAGTAACCCGTCCACCTCTACAGTACTGAAGAGCAAGCGCAAAAGGTAACTAAATTAAGCCAGCGAGTGAATTAACTTGATCCTTATAGAGCTTCTCACCAACAAAATTTCGAAATGAAGTAATGCAGGTGAAAATAGCAGCGACCGCTTCATGTAGATGAAGGAAATTTGTAAACTAAACTCCTGTCGAGTCTTGCACGTGCTCACGATCCAGCGGCACATATGGCCGTAGAGGAAAGAGCCTAACATAGGTGAGAAAAATCTGCCCACTTTCTGCTGCTGTAAGAAAACCGCAAAGTAAAATCCACACGGCAGATTCGAAACTATACCCGCGTCATTTGGAGGTCCTGGAATAAAAGCTTGCTGTCTCGTAAATTATGCAAAACGATTCCGCTGCATCGGCTGATGGGTGTAATTTTTGTGTACCGTATTCATATATGTGAATAAGTACAGAGAAGGGGTTGTGGGTGTATAGTGGGATAGCTTTCGCTTAGTTACCATACACGTATAGTAGAGAGATCATAGCTTCTTAGGTGGTGTCATTTCTACTGTAGTGTACACTCTGAAGCAAATGTAGCTTGGTCTTGATTAACACAAATCCGTCTTGAGCTGGCTGATGGTATCGATCGACGGACAAAATAACGCCGCGCGGCGTTTCGGGGCGAGATCGCCATAGTCTTCAAATTTGACGTGAAGATATCAGCAAGTGTACCTTCTGTCGGATCATGATGTGTGATCCTTGTCAGCTAGGTAAACTTGAAATCTGGCTTCGGGCTAGGGTTGTGTTGTCGAGGTTTCGCGAAAGTGCACGCTCGTGAGGGAAAGTAAAACTTATATTGTAGAAATTTTATCGAAAGAAATTGTCGTAAAATTTTTTAAATTGTTCCCATTGTGACATATTTACACTGAATTTTTTTATGACATTATAAAACTCAAACTATGCTTATTGTATTTTTTCCTTACCAAAAAAAAATTATGCTTATTGTATTTTCTGTTACATAAAAAATTCCAAACTTGTAAAGTTTTGATAAATGATTTTTCAGCTAAAAATTCATCATCATTTCACTTAAACCACGTCATTCATAACAGATTTTTAACGGTTCTCACTAATGAAAATTTGATGGATGGTAAATATGTCACACAGGTATAAGTTTAAGATTTTTTATTTTACAGGAAAAGTTACAAGGTAAATATATCTCAGTGGGTATAGTTTAGAGTTTTTTGAGGCCTTTTCCCCTTTACCTCTTTATAAACGATTTAAACTGTGCAATAATCACCTCAATTTATTGAGTTAGTGCCATATGGATCGAAAGTTAAAATTTGTCCTGCGCCAGCTACCTACGATGTCTTAAGAAAAGATGAAGCATATGGCAAACTATCACCCCACGGCGCACGCCGGCTATACGTATAGTCAGTTATCTTGTGTTTTGCTCATAAGAGCATGTATATGTAGATCTATCGATGTAATATGTCGAATATCTCGAATTTTCAAAAATACATGAGCATTCATGTTCAGGCTTCGTTTGTTTCCCGGATAATGAATGATTTGAAAAATAATTTTCGAAAAATAATCGCTTGTATCACTTGAAAGAATTAGTTAATGAGAAATGTTTTTATTATCGACGATAATTTATGTCTAAACATTTTTATAAACAATAAAAAATATCCCGTGTTCATTCGTTTTCATAAACGATACAAGCGATCTTTTTTTAAAAACTATTTTTCAAATCATTTATTTTTTGCAAATTAAGATTTTTTTTTTTGAGAGCTGGCGGCAAAACCATAATGACAAAAAGAAGCTGAGATGCCAAAATCCCACCAGAGGAAAGATCACTTGGGGTGCGCATGGCAACCATTCTGTGCCCTGGAACAGATTCTGGTCAGAAATGATTCTTTTTTATTTTGTGCTCGGGAATAATTTCTAAACATTTGAAAGTGTTTGGTAACTGTTCAAAATTTCTATTCTTAGAATAGAAAAAGAACAGAAATGCGTTTGGTAACTACACAAAATTTCTTTTTATTAATAATATTTTGAATTTTTTAATATTTCTTTTTTTTTTCCTTTTTTTTTCTTTTTTTTCCTTGGTCATGGCCGGTCGCCGGCAGGCCAAGGCCGGTGAGGGTGTCGCGGCCCTCGCCAGTTGCGACGGTAAGTCGGCCTCGCCAGATCACGGCGAGGTCGAGCCTCGTCGTCGCTACCCCCCGCAACGGCGAGGTTGGCCTCGCCAGATCACGGCGAGGTCGAGCCTCGCCGTCGCTACCCCCCGCGACGGCGAGGTAGGCCTTGCCTTGGCCGTGCGAGGCTCGACCTCATCGTGATCTGGCGAGGCAGACCTCGCCGTCGCCACCCCCCGCAACGGCGAGGTTGATTTCGCCTTGGCCAAGCGAGGCTCGACCTCGCCCCTGACGACGGCGAGGTCGGCCTCGCCAGATCTGGGCAAGGCCGAACTCGCCGTCGCTAGGGGCGGCAAAGGCCACCCTCGCCGGCCCTGGCCGATCGCCGGTGGCCAGTCACCGGTGGATGGTCGCCGGTGGCGAGCCAGCGGTGGGCTGGGAAGAAGATGAAGAATAAATGAAAAAGAAAGAAGAAAACCAAGAAGAATCAGTTCCGGAAAAATTGTTCCAAAATCAAGAAGCTACTTTTTTTTGCTTCTTGATTCTATTCTAAAACTAATTCTGGGACCAATTTTTTGCAAAATTGTGCCCTGGCACAAAAATTTTAACAAACGGATTTCTATTCCCAAACTTATTTTGGGAACAAAAAAACATAAATTTTTACTATTTGGCACGTTGCCAAACGAGCCTTTGGCATCTTATCTTAACATATAAAAGGAAGGGTTAATACCACGAAAAACCCTAAACTGGTACACTTATGACACATTTACCTCAAACTATTTTTTTTACCACAAAAAATTCCAAACTGGTATACCTGTGACAATTTTACCCCGAACTATTTTTTTTACCATAAAAAACCCCAAATTGGTACACCTGTAACAATTTTACCCTGAACTTACCACAAAAACCTCAAACTGGTACATATGTCACAATTTTACCATGAATTAAAATTTTCATATTATTTTTTATTTTTCCGAATTGTTATTATATTTTTTATTTTTTATTTTTTTTCTTCATCTTCAACCTCTAGCCGGTCGCCGGACCGGCGACTGGCTAGAGGTGGAAGTCGGCGAGGGCCGCCCTCGCCGGCGTCGAGCGAGGCCGCCCTCGCCGGCGTCGGCGAGGGCGACCCTCGCACAGGCAGCGGCCCAGGCGGGCGCGGGCGGGCGAGGTGACCCTCGCTGCGTCGGCGACCCTCGCCTACGTTGGGCGGGCGCCCTCGCCGACATCCGGGCGAGCGGCCCTCGCCTAGGCGAGCGAGGACGGCCCTCGCTTGGGCGGGCGAGGCAACCCTCGCCTAAGTCGGGCGAGGCGCCCTCGCTGATATGGCGAGGCGACCCTTACTGCCTCGCCCTCGCCGGATCCGGCGAGGCGGCCCTCGCCGGTGTCGGGCGAGGGCGGCCCTCGCTCGACTCGAGCGAGGCGCCTCGCCGGCAGCCGGCGAGGCCGCCCTCACTGGGCGGCGAGGACGGCCCTCGCTCGGCAGCCGGCGAGGTCGGCCCTTGCCAGCGGTTGGCGGGGCAGACCTCGCCGGCATCCGCCTCTGGCCGGTCGCCGGTCCGGCAACCGGCCAGAGGTTAAAGATGAAGAAATAAAAAATAAAATAAAAAATTCAAAATAATAAAAATAATATTAAAAAATTAGTTCGAGGTAAAATTGTCACATGTGTACCAGTTTGGGGTTTTTTGTGATAAGTTCGGAGTAAAATTGTCACAGGTGTACCAGTTTTGTGTTTTTTGTGATATGTTCGGGGTAAAATTGTCACAGGTATACCAGTTTTGGATTTTTTGTGGTCAAAAAAATAGTTTGGGGTAAATGTGTCATAAGTGTACCAGTTTAGGGTTTTTCGTGGTATTAACCCTAAAAGGAAAGATCTGTTCATTCCGAGTCCCCTAGAGAAATGGGCTTCAAATGGGCCACATACATGCACATTGCACTGCTTATGAAATGAACATTTTTCACTATCTATATGCTACACATATCTCGGGATACAAGAAAAAAGCTTTAAATTGAAATCCTGTAATTCATAAAGTTATAAACCCAAAAAAAAATTGTAGACACTAAACCTTCTGACAATTTGTCTATGCAGTTCTTTTGACTAATTTTGACCGAAAATTATTTCTGTGGATGTCAGCTACCTTGCGTGGCATGGCCAGCAATGATTTTCGAAAATTTGATTAATTTTTTTATAATTTTTTTGGAAATTTGATTAATTTTTTTATAATTTTTTTACAATTTTATTCTCCTTATTTTCTTCTTCTTCTTTTTTTCATTATGGCCAACAAGGGCCTAAATGAGGGCTATGACCCTCGCCGACCACAATGACAGATAAGAAAAGAAAAAGATACAAAAAATTGTAAAAGTTGTTGACGTCAGCGATTACTGGTCAAAATTGGCTAGAAGGACTACGTTGGCAAATCGTCAAAAGATTTAGGACTAAATTGGCTAAATCGAAAGGTTTAAAACTGAATTGGTATCGGTACAATAAATTTATGACTTTTTTGGGTAATTATCTCGACAAAGTGACCAAATTAGTTGTTGGGTGTCATTGATCATCATCTTCATTACACAATCTTTCCACACAATACCAAATTAACCAAGCTCTGCACATGCAACAAAAGAACTTGAACAAGAAGGTAAAGAATCAACACAAACAATATATCTCAATCTCAAAATCCAGGATGCAAGCTTTCTTCTCTTTTGAGCCCATCGTCGAAATTGAGCGCGTAGCTATGCGGGTCGTACTGAAACTGGGTCCTCTTCTTCTTACCAACCCCTCTCGAACCGGACCTCCTGATGAAGTTCTTCCACTTCGGCCCCGCCAAAACCTCCGAGACATGCTGGACCTTCTTCGAGTTTCGCATGAACCAAGTCTCTCTTGCTTCTTCCGGTTGATGTGCTGGCAGACTATCCACGGACCCGTCTCTTTTCGCGCTCCATCCAAAGCACAGCTTCTCGAAGCACCCGCAACTCGACGGCGTATTCGCATCTTCAAAGTCTTCCACGTCCTCATTGCTCTTCAGGGGCAAAGTCTCAGATAATGAGGCGATTTTCTCATGTGGGTTAACCATGAGAGAGAGAGAGAGAGAGAGAGAGAGAGAGAGAGAGAGAGAGAGAGAGAGAGAGAGAGAGAGATGGTTTGTCAATGAGCTCTTGAATGAAAACTTAAGGACGTGCAGGCATGAAAGGCTGTTTATAGATTCTGTGTGAGACTGATTCCTAGTAGAAGAACACGAGCATAACTGTCCAGAAGCTGGATTTATATAATAAACTTTGCGAACTCAAACTAGTACTTTCATCGAATCCCAAATGGACTATATCCTGAGAAACTGATGACTTAATAATTTCTTCGTTGCAGGGGTAATCAATATTCATGGATTATAGTAGTGGCAATGCCGGCCCGACTTAGACCAGCTGTTTCTCTTAATCGACAGTTCTAAGGGCTAAAGCACAATTTCTTGTCTGTTAGCAATTTGGCATTTCGATATTCCAAAATTTGGTGTGCAACCATGCTCATCTGTACTCACTCCAGCAAATTTGATTACATCCAACGTTCATCCTTATAGTACTCTCCGCAAATGCAAATCCCCCTACGGAAAAAGAAAGATTTATGCAAGTTGGGAGATTATTTCAAGAGTGAAATTCTTCGTGTTTGCCCTTTCGTTACACAAGTTAAGGAATTAGTTCTTCTAAATGACGTCGGTACCCACCGCATTATCGAATTTTAAATACTTTTAAATTGCTAGCTCTGCTAAAGGACCATCTCGATGATCCCTTAAACTAAAAATACCGCAAAAGATTTGACAGTCAAGAGCATGTCTCATAGACTTCTGGATTCTTCTAAAAGAGTAGGCAACTGGCTTGTGTATAAATTATGCTTTAATTTCTCTCAAAGCAAATACCTCATGCATATATTACCATAGTTAAGTCCACAGTAAAATGCAAAGCACCTTTCAGTCAATAGCAGAACTGAAACTGTAACGCAATCCATTCATGAAAATTCAAAACAAGTCTCATCTAGACCCACAAAATTGAACCTAACATTACTCCCACAAATAAGCTTCAATGGAAGAACTGTGCCGCTACCCTTACATCCCGGTGAATGCCTTCTTCCCGCCTCCACCTGATGACCCAGCTGGGATCACTTTCAAGACATTGAACCTCACCGTCTTTGACAGCGGCCTGTAACAATGTTCATTTTAAGTAGTCAGGGGAAAGAACTGCACAAATTAAGAAAGCTCAAGGAAGGGAGCAAGGCAAGAAGTCTTGAAATCAACCTGCACTGGCCAATAGTAACATGGTCACCCTCCTTTACACGGAAGCATGGAGAAATGTGTGCGGGAATGTTGGAATGCCTCTTCTCATATCTGAAATCAGTTCACTGATCAGTATTATCGCAAGAGGTCAGACAAAAGAGATGTAATCACTAGAGTAGTCTTTAACCTTTGGTACTTCTTGACAAAGTGCAGGTAGTTTCGGCGGACAATGATGGTCCTCATCATCTTGGCACTGTGGCAAGTGCCAGCAAGAATACGACCCCTGATGGATACATTGCCAGTAAATGGGCACTTCTTGTCAATATAAGTCCCTGCGACCAAGTCAAACATACACCAGACAAAACGACGTCATGTTTCATCACTGCTACTAGAAAGAGAATAATTCGCGAGAAGAAACTGTGAACTCAGCAATGTGAATAATTAAGTAGCCATTGCCGAGCTTCTTCAGCCACACCAAAAACTAACTTCCTCATACATCAAACATTTCAGGTCATAAATTTCAGGTAAATGTTTACATCCTACATTAATTTAATAAGTCCTATGATATGCACAAAATGACGCAGCTACATAACAAACAAGGATTGTTCTAACAGACTGAATTCGCAACCCAAAGCCTCCGCCTCTCTGGAGGTACTTTATCACCTCAAACTGCACAATTTCAACTTCCACCAGATAAAGAACTCGACATGTACGTACCTTCAACAGCCTCTCTCGGGGTCTTGAAGCCCAAGCCAACGCTCTTATAGTACCTGTTCCCTCCCTTACCAGGTCTCTTCCCCTTGCCAGACTTCTTCGAGCTGAAAAGTCCGATAACCACAGTCACATCACCTTGCGTAAAAAGAAACCGATACAGAGCCCCCTCCCTCCCACATTTGTTTAACATATTTTCAAACAAAGTGCCAGTTTTTATTCACTTTCGGACTTAGCTCAGCGCCGATCTATGGCCGTCCCCAGATCCACGATTTGCACAGTTCCCCCACACAAAAACAAAAGATTTGGAGCAACAACTCTACGCACAATCTACCAAAAGAACAACAACAGAATACCCCTAAAGCCGTTTCCCATCACAAGAAAGCACCACAGCCGATAACCACAAACCACTTTTGCTCATATTCCACTGTCCACATATACTACATAAGCAGCAGCTCAAAAAACAGCAGTCGGCCAGAGACACGGCACTCTCGACTCAAGCTCACACCTTTTTCCCCAATCACGACCGACCCAACAGACAAAGACTCGATCAGATCGTAAAGAGAAAAATTTTCCCAAAATCTCACCAGAGGAAGACCTTGGGCTGCTTCAGAAACGCCTTCTCAGTCTGCAGGAGCAAGCACAAGAATCACTTCAAATCACACACGGAGAAGCGATTCACGGGAGCTTGGGATCGAAGAGCACGAGGGAAGTTCCGTAGCTTTACCTGAGCATCCATGGCAGCAGCGGCGGCGGCGGCGGCGGCGGCGGCGGCCTAGCGCTTGAGGTGCAGCCGGCAGGCGAGGAGGCTGGAGGAAAGAGAGAGAGAAACCCTAATTTCGTCGGAGGCAAGGTGGGAGTGGGGAAGGGAAGATGTAGGGCTTATGATTAGGGTTTCCCCAGCTCCGAAATGACGGAAATGCCCACCTCTAGTAAGTCCGGGCTTCTGAAAGCCCAAGCCCATTAGAGCAGCCCGTTATTGCTTCTGCGTCTAATTGGGCTTGACCATGGGCTTGGCCTTCGTGAAATTCGGAGGCCCGAATTCTGAGCAAAGATCGGGCCGGACGCCCGCCACGTAAAGAGAAACGCAACGAAATCCTTCGTTTTGGCTTCGACCCCAAAAGAAAAAAATATATACTTTTTTTGTTTTGGGCCTAGCGGGCCGGGCCGGGGGGCCTTCTGGGGGAGCCGTCTGCTCCGGGCCCATGCATTGGGACAGTGAAAACTCGGGCTAGTACAAGCTCGGGCTAGACCGGGCCAACAGGCGTTCCGAAACTTATCCCAGACGCAGGCCGGCCCGTGCCGTTCCGCTGGTCGTCAAGGCCACGAACAATTCCGACATCTGGAGGAATTTTTCAACTTGCATGCCTTTCGATGGGAAAATAGCCACGCCACCAAAATTTAAGAAGAACAAGAGGACAGACCCCACTTCGAGTGTGTTTGGTTCAGCATCAGCAAAAGCCCTCCAAAAGCTTTTGGGACAAAGTTGAGATGTTTGGTTCTTTATCCTCAAAGGCCTTTGAGTCAAAGTTAGCATTTGCAAAAGTCCTTTGACTCAATGCAAGTCCCATCCAGAATTGGCATTCGGCATTCTCATAAAGCTACTTTCAAGGTTGATGACTTTCTTTCTTCCAAATTTGCCCTCACTAATATTTTCATATTTCATCTTTGCCCTTATAATCGATGTTCATCTCCCTCCCTGAAACGGACCTTCTCGATCCAAATTCGGATTGCCGATCTGACGCTCTACCGAGAGTTGCGCAAGGCTCACTTATAGTCACTGAGGGCCGAGGGTCTGTAATGATCGTTAGTATGGCTCGTCGAGGTCTGAGCTCACACGAATTTGGTTCGCAAGGTCATGCAACTCTTAGCATTATTACCTTGCCTGGGCCACCTGGGGTCGCATGACTTCTTCGATTGATTTGCTTCCATCAGGTTTGCTTTTACGAGTAGCCATTCCCTTTGTATTTTCTTCTTTTTGTCCCCTTCAAAGCTTACCTTGCAAAAGATTTACCCAAAGTCACAAAGCCAAACTATATTTACTTTGAACAAGTGTACCTCCAGTCAAAAAGTCCTTTGCTCAAAACTATAGCAAACATACCCAAAGCCCCTTGGGCTAAAATTTGATGTTTGGGAACAATTTTAAAAACTCCCCTTCAGTAAAACTGAGCCTTGTAAAGGCTGAAAGCCCAAGGCAGGTCCTAGACTATCTTGGGCTTTCAGCTTTCTTGGCATACAAGTCCCCCAAGTAAGTAAAAAAAATTTCTTCCGAAACTGCCATCATCTATTTTTTGATTTTTCGATTTTGGCATCGTCTGTCACTGTTCATCATCTTCTTCGCTTACACCTTGCCTGGTGTGGCTATGAGGCGACGGCGACCGACTGGAGGGGGGCCGGCGTGGTCGCGCTACCCAGCGACCATCGCTTGGGCTTGCACGACCATTGCGAGGGGCCACGCAACTCAAGCGAGGGCCGCCTGAGGTTGCGCGACCTAGACAACCTTCGAGGGTCGTCGGCGATCCAGATTTGGCACCGTGCGGCCGTCATTTGAGGTCGAACGATCTCAGGCAGCCCCCGGCGACCGCCGATGATGGTCGGCTGGGATCAAGCGACCCCTGACAAGGGTTGCAAAACCCAGGCGAGGGCCGCCGGCGACCCAAATCTGACACCGCACGGCCCTCGTCGGGGGTTGCTTGACCCCAGGCAGCCCTCATCAGCGGTCGCCGGGGCTGCCTAAGGTCGTTCGACCTCAAACGACGGCAGCTGATGCCAGATCTGGGTCGCTAGCAACCGCTTGCCTTTCGCTGGTTCCGGTGAAGGGTTTCAACTTTTCTTTAATAAAAATTGAAAAAAGTGCCCTACAAGTATAATTTTTCAAAACATTATTTTACCCAAAGTTATTTTACAATAAACTTTTAAGTTATAATTTACCAAGCACAATTTACATTTTGTTAAAATCCTTCAAATTCCTTGGTATTTTTTCAAAGATTTTTCTTTGAAGTGTTCCCAAACGTAGCCAAGCCCCAGCTGGTGTCTACTTCGAGCTATCCTAGGGACTACCATTCGTTGCATTTCTCGGCGGCTGTGTTTTCACACCAGTGAAGTCTTCACGTTCATGTCTTATACCATTTCCGTTCAAACATCAGCGCGAGAGATTCAGATCATCATCATCAGCCTCGAAACGACTTGTCGTCGGAATGAGTGAAGGGGGGGAGAGAAGGAGTGGGAGCCAGTTATGTGAGCCGGGGATCAAGGGTCCTGTGGGGTTCGAAAAGTCAAAGAAACCACAGCAATGTTGTCAAAAAAGTCGAGTTTTTCGAGAAAAGAGCCCCTGACAAGCAGACAAATTTATGTCCTTCCCGCGTAGGATGCCCCTGCCTCCATACTTTTGGATTCCCCCATATTATTGCCCCGCCCCCGCAAATTTTTTTCTCCCCGTGAAAATTATTAGTACTTGAATGTTAATTCGTTTAGTTTTTCGAAAACCCAAAAAGAATCAAGAAAGGAAAGCGATGTTCATTCTTCTTAAGGTCTGCTTTGCTCGTGTTCTTTCCTTTCTTGGACTTGCAGTAACCCATAACACGCTAGCCAGCCATATAAGATGACAGATGACTAGGCCCTTCCAATACTTTGATTTGAGATATCGCTGTGATTTTGTGGTTTCTTTTCATGAAATAAGCACGACTCATACCGTGCAAGATATTCAAGATAGGAAACGCAAAAATAGATGCAACATGAGACTTGAAGATGATAGGAAGCAATGAGGGATCAAGAAATCATGAAAAAAGAAGTGATTTTTCTTTGGTAATGTGTTATTGACAACAGAACATTGGATTGTACATGCATGAGAGTTATTATCCATTTGAAGGATCGATCTTGAGATGCACTTTACCTATTTTTTCATCCATATAGTGTTCCGGCACTGGAACGAAGACCTATTACTGCCACTTTTGGCGGAAAAAAAAGAAAACTGTAATCGCCAAAAGTGCCTTCTGGACAAAAACTTAGGAGCAAAAATCATGTTTTTTCAACGGCTTAAATCCCAAGAAAAGAAAGTGAAAGATTAAGGTATCTTCAAGGGCATTGTTGGAACCTGGAACAAACGTTTCTGCAGGAATGCTCCACGGGTAGTGACTGACGATACTTACACTCAGCTCAGCTTCTTCAACTTTTTGGCTCTGCAACTGTTAAGCCCCCTCGGTTTGTCTGCTTGTCCATGAGCGTGAACCAGTAAAGCGAGCTCAGGTCTTCCTCTCGCCATGGCTCTGCAACTCTTTCTTGCACCCACTTTGTTCCTCCTTTCTTCCTCAGCCTTCGCCGCTTCCTCGCATGGAGATTCTCTCTCTCGACCCTTTGAAGCACCTTCACCTTCAGGTACTACTCTCTCTCTTCTGGGTCTGTCGTCACTGCATTTACGTTTGTTTGCAGCTAAAGAAAAAAGAGAGTGTGAGCGAAGCTTCACAGCTCGCTCTTCTTGTCCTAACCCAACTCTCTGTTTGAAGTTTTCGGTTGAACCCAGCTCAAGATGTTTGTTTTCCCTAAGTCCAAGCATCTTCTGTTAGCAACTGGCTCGTAAAGTTTCAATCTTTTTGGCCCGCGTTGTGATCCGTTGTAGGAACTAGTCACTGCTGGTGTTCTTTTTTTTTTTGGGTCGAAACACTGCTGGTGTTCTAGTGATGAACTTTCTATTGCATTTTTCAGGGTGGGACTGGGAAAGCAAAGCGAAGTTGCTGGGGACGACCGGGCGAGAATATGTTATAGGACCGAGTACTGATCTCTTTGAGAACTCAATATCTGCTTTGGCTGCTGAGAGGACTTACAGGAGAGACCCTCTCGATGGGTTCAAAAGATACACAGGGGGGTGGAATCTGAAAGACCATCATTACTGGGGTGTGAGTAGTATTTCTGCCTATATTGTGCATTTCTTTTCTTTTCTTGTTATGGCAATGCTGAAGCAAATTCACACTTGGGCTGGTAAGTGGATTACGCAAAATTAATGAACTGTCAGCTGACTTGAAAGAAGACCCATCAAAAGTTCATGATTTTTAGTGAAACCTGTGCAGTGCGTGCCAATCGCTGTCCGGTAGTATGACTTTTTAGTGTATTCTGTTCATGGCATATGAACGATATAGCAGATGCATGGAGGATGTTGCAGTGCTGCTTATCCAGTGAACTTATTTGGGGAAGCTATCACGGTGGTACAAGTTTGAAATGATAGGGTTGAAGCTTTTTTGTCTTGGAGATCTTACTTTAGTTTGCACGTTCAGAGTCATAGGATATCCAAGATTGCGCTTGTTGACACATCAATTGCGAAACATATCCAGTTATCATCTAGTATCATTTGCATTGTTTTGAATATTTAAGTTCTCTTGAAATCGGATTGGATGGCTAACAATGTCTTCCCTCCAATTTTGTCTGAATGCAGTCTGTGGGTTTTACTGCAGCTCCCTGGCTTGTCATTGCGGCAATGTGGTTCCTCGGCTTTGGTGTTTGCTTGTTGGTCATGGTTTGTTGTTCTTGCAGTAGAAAGCAGCCTGATGGACAAAAGAGTTCTGCTGCTTATCCACTGTCTCTTATTTTTCTTGTCGTTTTCAGCATTGCTTCAATGTACATCTCTCTCTGTCTCTCTCTCTGTTTGACAGTAGACAAATCAACTCAAGAAAACTGACTTTGACATTGTGCAACAGCATTGGATGCATTGTTATCTATACGGGTCAGGGGAAGTTCCACAAAACCACAAGCAGAGCATTAGAGTATGTTGTGAATCAGGCTGATCTCACTGTCGGGAAACTGAAAGATGTGTCAGATAAT